TTCTCCTTTTAAAGCAGGAACATTATTTTCATAAACTTAACTCACCTTATTACTTCTCCTTTTAAAGCAGGAACATTATTTTCATAAACTTAACTCACCTTATTACTTCTCCTTTTAAAGCAGGAACATTATATTCATAAACTCAACTCACCTTATTACTTCCCCTTTTAAAGCAGGAACATTATTTTCATAAACTTAACTCGCCTTATTACTTCTCCTTTTAAAGCAGGAACATTATTTTCATAAACTTAACTCGCCTTATTACTTCTCCTTTTAAAGCAGGAACATTATTATCATAAACTTAACTCGCCTTATTACTTCTCCTTTTAAAGCAGGAACATTATTTTCATAAACGTAACTCACCTTATTACTTCTCCTTTTAAAGCAGGAACATTATTTTCATAAACTTAACTCACCTTATTACTTCTCCTTTTAAAGCAGGAGCATTCATTTCTTAAAATCAACTCACTTTATCTCTTTTTCTTTTAAATCAGGAATGTCGTTTTTATATTAACAATCATATTTCATAGCGACTAGCAAATAAATTTTTACCATATAACCAGTAATAAAACCTAACCCAGTCAACAATAATTCTTCAGAATCACCACATTCATCTATTAAACTATAAGAGTGTGATTCTGTTTTAATGATAGTTCATGTTGGTATATTAAGCTTATTAATAAACAGTACTTGAATTTAAATAATTAAAGGAAGTACTCTGCTACGTAAAACTAAAAACTTGTGTACTATCGGATATACAGAGTATAATATATATGGTTACAACGTTCCACTACGTTAACCATAAAGAAGCAAAGAAAAACTTTTTTAAAAAAGGAAGTAAATGTAGGGATGACTAATATCAATCCTTCAAAAACAATGCAAACAAGATAGTAGGGATGGCAATGCAATGTTTCAATAGACATAAGAAGGTTGTACTTATAATCAAGTTCTAAATACAATGAGGTTCTAACTCTAATATTTGTTGTTTATCTATTATTGGCTCGTAATTCCTATTTTGCCCTGTATTTTTTAAAGGAACGCCAAATTTATGTAAGAAAGCTAACTTCAAGGGGTAATGATAACATCGTTTACACTAAAATTATGATTTGTTTTAATTATTACAAGTTAATAAAACGTATAAAAGAAGATACTATGCATGGAACTATGTCACCTCAGTGAAATTGTTTGAAACCACTATTTTGGTGTTTGAGTTATCATGTAATAAAAAAGAAGAAGAAAGAAGAACAAGAAATTCAAATTTTTTTCTATGATATTTACAGACATTCCCAGAACTTGTGACTCAGTAATTACATAGATATTGTTATAAAAGGAAACACTGAATAGTATTGTAAAGTCCTGGTGATCTATTCATGAGATATTTAAAATACCATTTCGATAAACAATCCGAGATATCCCTACATAGGCAGTGCTACCGCCTGCCTGATAAAAACAAGGTCGTATCTTGAACACATAATCTAATGGATAGGAACTGACAAGAAATAATAGAAACAAGCTTATGTCTTGGATGCTGAATCTAATAAATAGAAACTGGGAAGAAATGAGAAACAAATCGATGTCTTAGAAAGAACAGAATCTAACAAATTCGATCTGAGAAGAAGTGAGCAAGTGACAAGCTTAGAAAAAATAGAACGAAATAGATAATAACTAAAAACAAAAGATAAGCTCATTATCTTCTAGGGTACTTAAAATATATAAGAATCGATAGGATATAAAAAATCAACTAGTATCTTAGAAACAGGTCTAAGAGAAACAGAATGACAGGGGAGCTAAGATCATCGATCGGTGTATTTGACCTAGTAATATATAACATATAGGAACTGATTTAATGATGATGTAATGGTTGTCTGAAAAATAGTTGTATCCGTATTTAGATGTATTTTTATTCGTGTCTAGGTCTGAAGTTATAGTAAATTAACCGGAGATTTAACCAAGAGACTTTTTTGTTACAGGGGCAATATATGACTATAATCAAAATACCGAAACAAGCTGGATTAAATGTTTACACTAAATAATACGTGCACAGTTTAGTGAGGTACCCCTGTTTATAGCATTTAAAAGTTATATTATATTAATATACCTTCAAATATCAGACGTTCAATTACAACATTTTTTTTACATTGTTGGTTCAGAGAATCAACCGGAAGAACTTCAAGTATAGTTTTAATGTGACTCAGCTGTAAGCTTGACGGCTTATAGCGCTAGAATTCGGGGTTCTATTCCCACGGAAAACACAAACTTTGCGTTAAAAAACAAAGTAGTTTTAATGAAGTTGTTTTTACATTGCATAAAGTTGTCTGATTTATGACTAGAGCATAACCCAAGAAATAAAACTTTACATGGTTTGAGCTCAATGTTTTTTTTTTCATTTATAAAAATTTAAGGTATGTAAGTAAATGAATCTTGTCATGCACTTCCTGACATTGGACATAGCGTGTGTATATACAATATTGCCAGTTTTGTTTTCAGTAGACCTAAAGAGAGAGAATATGATGGATGAAGCAAATATTTCAAAAGCTACAATGTGATGTTTTATACATGTAAACTGATAAAGAAGATTCTTAGGAATGACGTATGTTACTTGACAGGATAAAAATGGATCTCTTTCATCCTTAACCATACTTACAAAATCTTTAATATACTGTGCAATAACTTATTTTTTGTCTCAATAAAAAGACACTCTTAGAAATAGCTTTCTATGTAATGTCGTGATGTATCACACAAATTTGTCTCTGTCTACGTCATCAGTGTGCTCTTGAGGGATGATACCAAATTTTTGTTGAGCTCCGCCAACATATGCGGCTGGCGTAAACTCCCTATAGACTGTATATCAGTTGCTGAAATTGACGTAGCGTGGTTTAATCGTGACACGCGTGTTTTACCGCGAGTGAAATTTAAATATATACAAAAAAAAAAGGTTCCAGCAAAAATCAAATTATTTACTCTTGATTCATTTATGGGTGTCTCACGTGTGACTGCTTTCTTTAGTCATATCTTAACCCTGTAGTCAAAGTTGTCTTAGAAAAGTTGATTCTCGTGAAGTCACTGTGATGCGAATATTTCTGAGAATTTGATAAAAAAAACAAGTGCTATAAATTAAATCATTAGAAAATTTCGAGTTAAATTATGATTATTTTTTCAATGTTTAAAACTCGCGGTTATAAATAGATACTACAATTATACACTCGGATAATGTATGACATTGTTGAATTTTACCGAATTGAAATATTTTCTTTTGTTGCGTGAAATTAAAAAATGAGTAATTAAGTACGTTTACTGTTTAGCTTCTTTTAAGCACAACAAATTAGAATATGACAAAATGTTGTAGCAACGCAAAAAAAATGAGTTAAATTTAAAAATAAATATTAACTACCAACTGTTCAGTAGTAGGTTTAATTTTTTTGCATTTAGCTTTTTTGGAGACATGATCAAGAATAGAACAAAAAAATCAGAAAGTCAACATTTGATCAAGAAATCATAAATAAAAACTGTGAGTAATTATAAAAAAGGACGAAAAAAATTATTTCCCTTTCGTCATGCCGAATGTTTGGTTTCAGAGTTTTTACAATAAAGATACACTAATGATTACTAAAAAATCTACCTGAATACTTAACTTTAACAGCTTGAGACTTGTTACCTTGAAGAAAGTAGTAGGTATTGATGTCAAACTGTGCAAAAAATACAGAAAAACAAATTAATATTCTTTGAAACTACAATAACATAATAGTTTAACAGTAAACTACTAATACGATGAATTAGTGAAATATATTGAAATCTTATAAGTCTTGAGAGATGAAGCAGTCAAATAGTAATAAAACATTGCTTTCTTTTTTTTAATACACGTTAAATAAGAATAAAGACGATGTGTTTAAAAGCGATTAGAGAAAGACAAGTCAAAATTAAAATGTTATCTAAAACATTAAGTTTGCGAAACAATGAATAAATGAGTATGGTGTACAACAAACCATTAAGTTTGCGAAACAATGAATAAATGAGTATGGTGTACAACAAACCATTAAGTTTGCGAAACAATGAATAAATGAGTATGGTGTACA